CGGTCCAGCCTCTGCCCCTCAGGCATTCCTGGGAGATGGTGCCCCTCCAGCCAAGAGAGCCCCCACCTCTCTAACCCTAATAGCATTAGCCCTTAGACTTATATACAGCTTTACGGTGCTTTTACAGCCCTCTTGAAGCGGTTTACAGAGTCAGCCTTTTGCCCCCAACAATCCGGATCCTTATTTTACCCACCTAGGAAGGACGGAAAGCTGAGTCTGAATCTTGAGCTGGTCAGAATCGAACTCCTGGCAGTGAGCAGAATTAGCCTGCAATATTGCATTCTGATCACTGTGCCACCACAGCTCTTAGATAGATGATATAGATAGGTAGATAGAGGTAGATAGATGATAGATAGCAACAGCCGTTAGACTTATATACTGCTTTATAGTGCTCTGCAGCCCTCTCTAAGCAATTTACAGAGTCAGCCTCTTGCCCCCTCAAATCTGGATCCTCATTTTACCCACCTTGGAAGGACGGAAGGCTGAGTCAACCTTGAGCCAGTCAGGATCAAACTCCTGTGGGCAGACTTAGTCCGCAATGCTGCATTCTAACCAACTGTGCAGGAAGGAAGGAAGTGAAGGAAGGAAGGGAGGTAGCAATAGCACTTAGATTTATATCCCGCTTCACAGTGCTTTCCAGCTCTCTCTCTAAGCGGTTTACAGAGTCAGCCTCTTGCCCCCAACAATCTGGGTCCTCATTTTACCCACCTCGGAAGGATGGGAGGTTGAGTCAACCTTGAGCCTGGTGGGATTTGAACTGCCAAACTGTAGGCAGCTGGCTGCAGAAGTAGATTGCAGTACTGCGCTCTAACCACTGTGCCACAGAGGCTCCTACGCAGGCTAATCCTACACCAGCCTTTGTTTTTCCTTGCCGGCTGCCTTTAGTGAAATGCTTCCTCGAGCATTTTTCTGCCCAACTTATCAAGATCCTTCCGAAATCAATCCTTTCCGGTAGCTGTAATGCCTCCAAGATTTGTGTCACTGTTGAACTTGAATGTCCTGTTTCCTGACCATTTTCCCAAGTCATGTATTGCCTAAATCTATTGCAGGGCCCTCCATTTCCCCTTCCCTCTCCCTGGATGGCTTTGGCCCTTGGTACCACTGTCCCACCCGTCTCATGAGTACAGCTCTCTGGCCCACATTTTACCCTCTTCTTTGAACCTCCTGGCCACTTTGTTGCAGGCTTTGCTGAAGACCAGGTATCCATAGCACCTGTCACATTCTGCTTAGTCAGGTGAGGTCAGCCGTTCAAAAAAGAGAGAGAGAGAGAGAGAGAGACCAGGTTGCGCTTGGGATATTTTATTCTTAAGAAATCCATGTTGCCTCTTATACCAAGTAGCGCATTCTTTTTCCAAGGGGGGAATCCTATTTATTAACCTCTTCCAAAATTTTGCCTGGTGTTGGTTGCATCAGGAATAATGGAATAATGGATGCAAACTGAACAAGGAGAGATTCAACCTGGAAATAAGGAGACATTTCCTAACAGCAAGAACAATCCACCCATGGAACAGAAATTGCCTTCGGAAGTTGCGGGAGCTTCATCCCCGGAAGCTTCCAAGAAGAGACTGGGCTGCCATCTGTCAGGAATGATGTGTAGTCTCCTGCTTGGGCAGGGGGTTGGACTAGATGACCTACAAGGTCCCTTCCAACTCTGTTAATCTGACTGGTTTGTGGTTGCCCAGGTCCTCTTTTCCTCCATTTTGAAGAGGAGACCAAAACTGGCCATCCTCCGTTCTCTGGCACTCTTCTAATCCTCCAGGATTTCTCAGTCTCTCTGGAAACCCTTTCAAGATTCATCGGTCTCATCCTGAAGACTTCAACTTGCTCGGGCCAGCCCGTTTCCACCCCCCAAACCACCCTGTTGCTTCTCTCCACTTGTGCCCCTCCCTTCAATTCTGGGCAAGGGTCCCCTCTGGAGAAGAGATGGGGAAACTCTGCCCCCACTTTACCAACTCTGCCCGTCACGATCCTGCTCCCCTCTGTGCCAGTGGCCCACCTGCCTTGGTCTGTCCAAGTCTGTCCAGCAGAAGGAGACAGACGTTACCTGAGCTGAAGCCAACAAGACTACAGCAACAGGATTTAGATCCCTTTGGCCAGACGGTGGCATTTGATGGGGCCCAACATGGCCTTCGCCCTGTTCAAAGATTGCTTTGTGTTTTGAAAACTTAGGGAATTCAGAATAGGCAAACCGCATCACGGAGTTAGCCAGCTTTATCCTCACCAGAGATCTTGTGGGGCAGGTTGCCGAATTGAACCGTGGCAAGCAAACAGGCACCCTGGCCAGGTCAGAAGACTTGCCTTCCAATCCAGTCAGAGCGGCTGAATAAGATCCAAGTCAGGAGGAGGAATTTACTGCCTTCTGGTAGGGAGCCAGAGAGCCAATTAAGCAAATTCAACCAATTTGGGTTGATTTATTGTCGTCTTAGCTGTGCCACCGAGCAGGACATTATCAGCAGAAGGGAGGACCGTGATTTTGGGCAGCAGATTCTGAGCAAGGAAGAGAGAACTCTGGGATTGTCAGCAGGGGTGACAATCTGCCCATTCCTCTTGCAGCGACGGGTTTCTGACCCAACATTCGGCTGGGATCGACCCATGGATTGGACCCAGTTGGGATTGTGTCCTTCCTTTCGTGGACAATCTCCTCTGATGAGTTACTTTCCCGGATTTTTATATCTTCCAATGGAAGAACTCCTCACGATGCCTTCCTTCATCCCAAAGTCAGGATGGAACGGAAGCAGGCATGAATTCTCTGACATCCCCAACGTGGCTTCTCCTGGAACCGGTTCCCCTTGTGGTAACGTTTTGCCTGAGGAAGACGCGGGTGCAGATGGTGGGAGCCACTCCCTTTGTCTGTGGACCTCTGGGGGCTTCAGAAGACACGTGTGATGACCCAAAGGGGCGTGGCACAAAAGCAACAAAGTCAGAAAAGTAGGTAACGTCCCTTTAATTCCTCCAACGTGGCCCCCAATGTCCAGTTATCATCGGCTGGAGAAAAAACTCTCCCAAGACAGTTTTTAAAGGGGAGAAATTCCATCCAACCCAAAGTACATCTAAATTATAAATAAAAACCAACACAAACCACCGGCTGCAGCAATTAACGAGACAGGACAGGATAAGGAATTGCAGACTTCAAAAGATAATGAAACACACACAGTTGGGAGGATGCCAGAGCCCAGATAAGACTTGAGAAAGATAATTCATGCTTTGCTTCCAGCAAGGAGCTGTGTGCAAACACCCTCTTTATCCTGTTTTTCCAGCTACAGCCCATGAAGGGAGTCAGGGCTCTTTCCTCCCCCGTAAATCATGTTGCTCCCTTATTTGTTCCTCACTGCGTGCCCTAGAATGAAGAGGAGGTGGGCCTGGGTCTTCCTCTGAATGCCCAGCTGGCCTGTGCCCTTCCCCAGTTTCCTCCACAACCTCCGGAGCCACATTCCCACTCCCTGTCAGCTGTTCCACCTCTCCCTCGGAATCAGATTCCAACTGGGGCATGACAACATTGCCTGACCTGGCCCGACATCCTCCAAGAGCTGGGATTGGAAAGTTCACCTCTGAAACCTCTCAGCATCCCAGCTAAAGGAAATGTTTTCTTCCCTGCTTTATTGTCTTCCTCTTCTTCCTCTTCCTGAGGACAGACTTACTATAAAAGATGCTTTTAACGCGGTTAATTATTTATGTGGCTAGTAAAAATAGACCCTGCAGCCATTCTTCAGAACACAAAGTGCTTGGAAAAACCAGAGCAGCCTCCAAGCAGTTTTAACAGCCATATTAGAGAGTCCTGCAGCGTTTTGCAGATAGGAGGGTGGGCATTGCCCGCTTCTCTGAATGGGGGTCTTGAAAGGACAGAAGGTGGGCAGCCTCCAGCCTCCATGGCTGAGTAGAATCTGCTATCGATTTCTGCCCCTCGGTTAGCCAGGAAATGGCTCAGGTTTGCCCTCGTCCGATTCTGCTCGCCAGCCGTGTCTGCCTGTGGGGATGAGCGGCATTAAGCTGTCTTCCTTGTTGCAGTTGTAGGAAATCAACTTGGTCTCAGACAAGCCAGGATGAATCCGCACACTGGTCTCAATGGGCTTTAGGTCCTTGCAAAGAGAGAGCGTATGTCATAGATTTTAGGGGACCAGGTGAGAAATACCCCTTGCTTCCCTCTCCAGCATATTTTCCAGACAGGCAAGGGGGGAAAGCAAAGCATAAGGCGCGGGTGAAACCTTCCAAGCGGGGACTTAGATGCTCCCAGTCTCGTCGGACCCCTTTTGCTTTCAGAGTTTGAAGCTCCTCGCTAGCCACTAGCATGTAGCTTGCAAGCCCCACCCCCCCTGGGCTTTGTCACCTGGGGCTGTGAAGTCAAATCAATGTCAGGAGAAGCCAAGAAGAGAACCACCCCACTGGCACTTCTGGAAGGTACACGGATGGTGGCCCCGGGACTTGGTTGCCCATATAGCACTTTGCAAGGCTGGAGGGTGTGGGAAAGGAAGCAAGATCGGCTGCCCCGAGGCCAGACGAGGCTCCCCACTAAAGGATGGACTCCTCTGGTCCCGGCTGCTCCTTCCCTTCCCCTGCCCTGATCCAGAGCAAGGCCTGCAGAGGGAGCTCGGCCCAGAATGGCAGTCTGGTGGGAGGGAGCCCCTATGGGAAACGGGGGGGGGGGCTACTTTCTTGAGCTCTGACCTAGTGGCTCAGTGGAGGGAGAGTCTGAATTGTAAGCTGCATTGGTAGCACCTTGATCTCCATGAAGGCACACTTGGGTGGCCCATTTACAGCACGCTACCACGACCTGCCTTGCAGGGTGTGGTTTTTTTTCCCTGAGATGAATGCAAAAGAGAATATTGCTGATCATTGATTACATGAAGCACTTCGTTAATTAAAATTGCTGGCGGTTTTGTTTCAGAGGGCCCCCTTCCGCTCCCTGCCGCCTTCCTTGCTCCTCCTGCATTGGCTAAAAACTTTTGAGTTCTTTGAGATCCCCGAGACCTGCCTCATGCGCCTTCTCTCATGTGTCCAACCAGGTGTTGCCTACCAACCCTGAGGAAAGCTGGCAGGTGTACAGTTCTGCTCAGGACAGTGAAGGACGATGCATCTGCACAGTGGTGGCACCTCAGCAGACGATGTGCTCACGGGATGCCAGAACAAAGCAGCTACGACAACTCTTGGAAAAGGTAACGGTATGATGGCTCTGGAATGCATATCTATCTATCTATCTATCTATCATCTATCTATCTATCTATCTATC